CCCCCCCCCCCCGCCAGCGCTAGGGAGATTGAGGTACAAACACAGGATCTCACACATGCAGGAGAGGAAGAAAGGCCCGAGCTGGCATGCTTGGTTTGGCTCTCAGGACGTTTGATTACCTCTGACATGTCATGATGCAGCTAGAAGCCTGTCACCAGCTGTGGAGCAGATACTAATGCCAGGCATTTACACCAATAAGCTGGCACAACCCTATTCTGTGTAAATTACCCAGACTGCTGTATTCAGTGTCAACAACAGAAAATGGACTAAAGTGAGCATCCATCTATCTGTCTGTCTATCTATTATCTATCTATCTATCTATCTATCTATCTATCTATCTATCTATCTATCTATCTATCTATCTATTTTTTTTTTTTGAGACAGGGTTTCTCTGTGTAGCCCTGGCTGTCCTGAAACTCACTCTGTAGACCAGGCTGGCCTTGAACCCAGAGATCCACCTGCCTCTGCCTCCCAGAGTGCTGGGATTAAAGGCGTGTGCACCACCACCCTGCTATAGCAGGCATTTTTAAAAGTACCGACAGATTCACAAAATTTTGAAAACATAAGAGTGAGAAATAAGGAAACAATCTGAAAATGAGTATATCTGACAATTTAAGAAACTTGATAGACTTCTGTTGTACTTCAAGACCGTAGCCATGATTTTCATTTCAAAGCTGCCAAGTAGGGAATCCCATCTCCCTGTGCTATGCTCTTCCTAGATCTGTGTGGGCTCCTGGTTATTTCGTTCTAATTCTCGGCCCAGATTATGGTTATCTGGGTTTACAGTAAAGTGACTTCTAAATATGGAGATGTTGAATGAACAAAAGTCCTCAGGAATGGTTCTAACTTTGAGAGTGTATGTTGTGTGATATTTTGTTTGTGTTCTGACAAATAAAGCTGTCCTGGAGATCAGAGGGCGGAGCTAGCCACTAGTTAACCATAGAGGCTAGGCAGTGGTGATGCACACCTTTAATCCCAGCACTTGGGAGGAGGAAGCAGGAAGATCAGGAGTTCAAGGCCACCCTGGGCTACATGAGATTGAACCAGTCTAAAAGAGAAACAGAGCCAGGCAGTGATGGTGCAGGCCTTTAATCCCAGCACTAGGGAGGTGGAGGCAGGAATAGAAGACCAGTAGAGACAGGATCTTGGCCCATTCGTTTGAGGATTCATAGAGACGGGACTCCCCATCCCCCCCATTTGTTCTGAGGATTTGTAGAGATAAGAAGTCTCTAGTGGTGTGGCTGCTGCTCTGCTTCTCTGATCTTTCAGCTTTACTTTGATATCTGACTCCTGGTTTTTATTGTTAAAACTAATTAGGATTGCGCTTCAAGTATAAGACTTCCCTTGGTTTAAAACAAAAGAAAAACCAAAAGAAGGCTTAATATTCCTGTAGAGGCCTGAGAACTCTGAAGTCCAGTCATTTGACTTGACATTGATCTTTGCTCCTTAGGGAGCTGGATCATCAGGAAAACTGCCAAGGGGACCCAGAGATGTCACTCCGTGTGTGCCCTCAGCCTGGCACACAGCCGGAGGCTCTGTGCATTTAAACATGGAATCCCATCTTCCTGTGCTATGCTCTTTCTGGATCTGTGTGGGCCCTTGGTTATTTGGTTCTAATTCTTGGCCCAGTCAGTACATTCGGCAAGTGTCACTACCATCTGGTCAACCGTCAGCCCTGTTTTCCTCCACATTGGGCTCTGTCTGTAACCTTGAGTGTGGTCTTTTTTAACGATTGATCTCCTTTATTTAGATAAAGACTGACCCAGAGGAAGATAACATGGCTCATGGTGGGTTCAGTTTATAGCATAGTTTGCTAGCAGGGGTTCAACCACTGAGCTCTGCCTTCAGCACAGTTCTTAGCTCCACTCCACCTAAAGCAGATTCAAGATCATGGCATATACTCAAGAATGTTTCAACATTAGTATTTTTAATTTGTTTTGTTTTGTTTTTTTGAGACAGGGTTTCTGTAGCGCAAATTCTAATTGGTCTTAATAATAAAAATCCAGACTCAGATATCGGGGTAAATGCTGAAAGATCAGAGAAGTAAAGGAGAAGCCAAAGTCACCTCTTACCTCCACGACTCCTTAGATTGAAAAGGGGCCGGGCTCCTGTCTCTGCCCACCTTAGAGTCCTCTCTCTACCCAGCCATATCACTTCCTGTCTCCTGTCTATACAGACCTCCAAACCTTCATGGTTAATTAATGGCTAGCTCCACCCTCTGATATTCTTTACAACCTCTTTAGTGAATTTCTTTTCTGAATTTGTTAACAAAGAAAATTATAACTGTAACTATCTGGTCTTCAGTTCCATCAGAGACCCAAGAAAGAAATAATATTACATGAGATAACATTCCAATCCCTAAAAGCTGAACATTTACCTCTTGAAGAGGCCAATTTGGATGCCAAGATTCTGGTGCAATTATTATTACATCTACACCTGTGTCTACAAGACTTTCAATGACAATGTCATTTGTTCTTATTTTTAACTTTGGTCTTTGATCATTTATAGAGGTTTGCCAAAATATTTGCTTTATGGTTTCTCCTGAAATTTTTTTTCTCTCTTCTATAGGTGTTCTATCATCCAGAGCAGTATGGTTTTTTACAATAGTCATTAGGTTCTTTAATTGCTCTAGGAAGGAGTTTCCTCCATGATGACAGGAAACAACTGAACCAAATTTGACATGGAGGCCTGTGAGAGGCCCCTCAAGGCATTTCCCGATGACGAAGGGTTACCTTGACTGTCCCTTGTTGATCTACATCCATTAGTCCAATGTCTGCCTTTGCCACATTTGCCTCTCCTATCCAAGCAACATCATGGTTATGAGATTCAATATTGACTGTATCTTGGATTCATTCCTCCAAAGGTGCTGATCTTGCCTTTAATGACCTAATTACCCTTTTGCATTAGCATTTTCAAAAGCCAAATATTCAATTTATATTTGTCTAACTTCTGAATTTGGTATCATTCTATTTACTCCTGAAGTCAATATTTGTATGAAATCAGTGAAGATTTCTTTTGAGCCCTGTATAACTTTAGTAAATGGCACCAGGCGGTGGTGGCACATGCCTTTAATCCCAGCACTCGGGAGGCAGAGGCAGGTGGATCTCTGTGAGTTCGAGGCCAGCCTGGGCTACCAAGTGAGTTCCAGGAAAGGCGCAAAGCTACACAGAGAAACCCTGTCTCGAAAAACCAAAAAAAAAAAAAAAAAAAAAAAAAAAAAAACAAACTTTAGTAAATGACTCAGTTTTCTTTCCTACTTCTTCAATTCTATCCCAAGCATTCAAGGCTGCTGTGAGGCATAAATTCAGGATGTGGTCATCATATAGAGATTGCCTTTCTACATTAGCAGAATCTCCTTCGCCAAGAAGTTGGTCTTGAGAGATTCCCTTACCTCTAGCCCTACTTCATTGTTCAATGGTCTTAACCTCATCTTTCTACCAGGTCCTCCACTGTAATTGAGGACCAGGCTCCAAGACTGCTGTAACCAAGTCTCTCTAGTCTTGAGGGATAATTCTATTATAAGTTGACCATGAGTTTAACATCTGCATCACAAAAGTGAATGCATGCCATATGAGAATAGTGCTTCCTTGAATCTCCTCAAATCTAACATTTCCACAGGAGTCCATTCAGCTCTTACACAGCCTTGGGGATATCTATCATTGGGCAGTTCCTATAAAGTTACTGGATAAATTAAAGTTGGTTGTTTGAAAACCTTAGGCTACTCCTCTTTAATGTTAGAATGCAATGCTGAGATTGGTTCTCCTTTAAATTCCTCTGTCTGGGTCTGAATATCTCTATGATCTGTTTTAATAAGTTTTTCTAAAACTTGTATCTTAGCACTCATATAGACCAACTTTCTTAGTGATAAAATGAAAATGATAGCCAGGTGGTGGTGGCGCATGCCTTTAACCCCAGCACTCCAGAGGCAGAGGCAGGCGGATCTCTGTGAGTTCGAGGCCAGCCTGGTCTACAGAGTGAGATGCAGGACAGGCACCAAAACTACACAGAGAAACCCTGTCTCAAAAAAAAAAAAAAAAAAAAAAAAAAACCCAAAACAAAACAAAAAAGTACTGGTAAGCCATAGCCATGTGGCAGCTTATAGATTAACAGAAGCCTGCCATAGGCCATACAGTTTGTAAATAATATAAGCCTCTGTGTGTTTACTTGGGACCAAGTGGCTGTGGGTGAGAGAGATTTGTCCTGACCGCTACAGAGGTGACATGTTCTGTTTTGAAGGATGTGTAGGAGTTATCCAGAGGCAAGCACAAAAGTTTAGTTGTGACAGGAGTTGTGGGGGTGAGCTAGTCTGCATTAGGAAGGATTTTTGAGGGGTCCATCATTGAGGTATTGGGGTGAAGAAGTGGGCTTGACATGAAAGAGAGAGCCAGTGTGCCTGGTGTCAAGAGCTAAAGTTTTATTAGAACCGAGAGACTTTGAAACCAGGGAGTAACATGCCACCTCCAACCTAGACCTTCAGAGTGACACATCTTCACAGACTGATCAGGGCCTCAGCCAAAGGGCTGGTGCATCTGGTTATAGGAAGCAGGGCCATGCATGCATCTCAACACATCAGACAGTGTGGATCAGAAGACAGCAGAGATGCCCTAATGGTAAACGCAGAATGGAAGAAGTAGTTAGTGTCTGCTACAGCCCAAAGGCTCAAGGTAAATATTCACAGCATTCTCATCTCCACAAGATAGGAACATCAGAGGCTGAATGATGATGTCTATGAGGCAGGGTTTCATGGGTTCTGATTACAGTCTGGATGTGAAAAGGATTGTGTGTCCTGTAACTGTAGGAGAAATATAAAATGACAATCCCAGGGTCTTTTCGCTTTTGATGTTTTCCCCATATATGATCTGTGAGCCTCACGACAGTAGTTCTTGGCATATAGGGCAAGATGACGGAATTGGAGGTCTGAGTTTCGCGCCCTCGGGACCAAGAAGTCACATTCAAAGCTGCAATTGCCTTTATGAACACGTCACCTTTCCCAAACCCACCTGTCTCCTTCCATATGCCAAAATGGCTTCTTTGAGGTCTTGAAGCGTGTGCAGTTCAAGGTCTGGCTTCTTCCTGTGACCTCTTCTCCTCTCTTTGGGTGGCCACGCTGACACAGCTAGCCCCTCTGAGTAGAGGATCAGCGCTCCCTTTCTTGTGCTGAAGGTCTTAGGAAGTAAGAGGCTCCAGGAGTGCTGGCTGGCACTGTCCCCATCCCGGGGGTTACTGACCAGGACATAGTCTTCTGGGGACTTCCAGTTCAAATAGTCCTTTATGGAAAGGAAAAATGCCTTGATTGAGACACTGTGGAAAACCCTTCGGCAGCAAATACTGTCTGCGAAGTTTTTGGCTTTCTGAAACCGTGTGTTTATTTATGTACATTTAATTAAAAATAATAAAGAAAAAAACCTTAAAACACACACACACACACACACACACACACACAGAGAGAGAGAGAGAGAGAGAGAGAGAGAGAGAGAGAGAGAGAGACCCAACACAATAACAAAAGTTAGTAGAACCTAGTACAAAAATCCATTTTATTCCACACAGCTTTCAGAAGAACTGTGCCTGCCTACAGGCTAGTTACAACTCCTGGTATGCAAGCAGGGAGTCAGGAGCATCAGGGACAGTAGATGACTTGGCAATTGGACCTGGACTAGTAACCAGTTTAAATATGAGAAACTCTTCCAACCCACTCTGTTTCAGTTGTGTGTAGAGACACTATACATTCCAGACCGGGGAACACTGCCTAATTTGGCTCTATATCAGAGCCTATAAAGGAGCCATATTATTTTGTAAGTGTATGCCATTGGCCACTGAAGTCCTTTGAAACTTTATATATCTTTTAACACAGTGAAGGTCAAATGTCACGGCAAATACCACGATGATGGAGAACTCTGTTTGACGCACGCCTTTACAAAGTACCCCCAATGTGTTTATTGTTCCTGGCAGTCCTCAAGAAATAAAACGCCAGCACAAGAACAAGGGGATTTTTGCCACCTCTTTAAAAATCTTCTAAAATGAGATTTGTTTTTGGCCTCCATTAAATATGAATCCTGTGGGTTGAATTCCACAAAGTTCAAAAAAGCCACCGAACGGCACAAATACGGCATTCCAACCACCAAGCACGGCTCCTAAAAGCCAATAGCAGTCGGTTCTCCTAATTTCTTCTACAGACCAGGTAGGAATTCCGGTCTTGAACCCAATGCCCAGTCTCCAGACAATCTTGATTCTCCTTCAGGCTCAAGTAAAGGCGGTAGGGAGCGGGTGTCCGCAAGGCAGGCTGTTCCTTTGACGTCCATCCGTGGCAATTACGGACGGACGTCAAACAAAAAGAGGGAAGATCTACCAGTGACCAACAGCTTGGCTCCAACACTCACCAAAACACAGCTTGGAAAGACAGAGCATCCCTCCCCCATGCTCAAAATGTGCCCCCCTCCCCGCAACTCTAAGACTTACCTCTGGTTCAAAATAGACTTCCAGCTTCTGTTTATTCTGGACCAACTTCCCGTGTCCCCGGCTCAGGAGAGAGAGGGTGAGCATGATTCCTCCCCGACCGCTCCCTCTCAAAGGCAGTTCATCTCGGTTTTGAAGGCTGAAAGCTGGTCACACCTCAGGGTTTCCAAAGCTCAACAGCAAACCAAAAGAGACCATGAACATTGGGCCTTTTATGAAATCTGTTTCCCCTCGTAGAGACCCAGTAACAGGCAGGCACACAGTTTAGACAGAGTGCATCTTTGTGGAGAGAAGAACCAAACCGTAAGGCCCTCAGACAGCAGGCTGTGTGCGCTCTGCTCCTCTGAGCCCTTGTTGTCCCTGAGACCTGGTTGCTCTGCTACAGGCCTCGTGCATCTGCAAATCCGGGCCAAGGCACCATCCTTCCCATTGTGGAGGCAGGTTGTTTCCTGGTTGCTATGGCAGCACAGGGAAATGAAGTCCTTTTACCCAGGCAAAGGCACTGCTGGTTCACTGGCTGGGATGGGGGTGGGGAGCTGTCCACTGGACACTGAAGGGACCAGACTCACACACCAAGTCCTGAGGGTAAGAGGTGGGGTGGGAAGCCATGTTGGGGTCTTTTTTTCCGATGTGCGTCCATTTGCTTTGAATAAGTGTCTTCCCTTTCCCCTGACACGTTGAGTCTGTCACTGTCAACTATTAACAGACTCAGGGAGTCCTCTAGGTCATCCAAAGCCGGCTGTGATGTGCCTTGGCTGTGCCCAGGATCCCCTGAACTAGACAGGAGGCCTCATTTTACAAATGACTGCTTTGCATGAGTGACTGGGAGACACCGGGAAGTTCTGACTTCCTTGGCACACCTGGTTCTCAGCGGGGGGCATTTTGGTTGTCACATCACACATATACATACACACCACGCACATGCACACAAACACACACACACACCACACACTATGCACCACGCACATGTGCACACACACACACACACCACACCACGCACCACACACACACACCACGCACGCACGCACGCACGCACACACACACACACACCATGCACACACACATGCAGGCATGCACGCACGCACGCACGCACGCACGCAGACCACACCACTCTTGGGCCTAGGACGTTAAACGTCCTGCACGGTGTGACTGTCTTGTGTACTGGATATCACTTGGCACCCTGTTAGGATCTTAACCACTTGTTGCCCTTTGATGCTCGCACAGTGAGCTCAAAACAACTTGGTGAGGGCCAGGAAGTCAGAGGGTCCTGCTGCTGCTTAGGACCCAGTTTTGGCCAGGGTGGGGGTGGGGGAAAACAAACCGCTCATAGTATTCAGAAGTGGGCCGGCCCACCTACCAGTCCCTATCACTTCCCTCTCCATGGGGCCTTCCCAGGGCTCCGCCGCCGCTAAGCGCCCCCACCCCCCAAGACAGGCTCAGAACTCCTAGCGTTAGACCTCATGCTGTGAAATGAGATTGAGTTTAATGGGGAGGAATTAAGATCGTGAAGGTAGAGGTTCAAAACTGAGCTTAGTCAAATCAACAGTGAGGTCACACTTCACACCTGGGAAGCTGTAAACAGAAGAAAGCAACGAACAATAGCCAGTGTTGGTGAGGGACAGGACTCAAAAATCCTTGTACACCAATGTACATTTAAAATGGTGCATCCTTGCAGGGGTGGGGGTGGGAGTGGGGTGGTGGTAGTGGTAGCTGGCACCTTTAATCCTAGCATTTGGGAGGCAGAGGCAGGTGGATCTCTGAGATCGTCTACTGAGCCAGGACAGTCAAGGTTACACAGGGAAACTCTGTCTTAAAAAACAAAACAACATAAACAGGCAAACAATAATATTTAAAATAAAACGGTGCATGCTCCATGAAAAATGGTATAACAGGTCCAAAAAACCCAACAACCAAGCATATAATCAACACATTGTCTAGGAAGTCACTTTGGGGTGTATTCCCCAAAGGGGTTTCTGGAAGCAGACTCTCAGATTTGTCTTCCCTGTGTTCATAGCAACCAACTGAAACAGTTAAAATGTGGAATCAATCCAGTTACCCACTGACACACAGTTGATCGAACAAAATTCGACATACATATACAATAAAACATTATTCGGCTTTAAAAAGAGAAAGAAATTCAGATGTGTGCTACAACACTGATAAGCCTTGAAGATATCACGCTAAATGAAATAAGCTAGTGACAATATTGGTCACATGTCGGAGGGTGCTACTACTTACGTCCCACATCTAGAGTCGTCAGATTCCCAGAACCAGGAAGGGGGCGGTGGTGCCTGGGGGCCGGGGGAGGGGCAAGGAAACACAAAGTTAGTGTTCTGTGGAAACGGAAAGCCTTCTGGAGATAGATAGCCTAGCCTATCCCGTCCACAGGGTGGACGTTCCTAGTTCCAAGGAACTGTTGACTTAAAATGGTACACTTCTGTACCTTTTATCACAATTAAAAAAATTTTTTTTTCAAATGTGTAGCACAAACTTGAAAGCCAATTCACACACTTGCTAATCCAAGTGGTCAGCATAACCTGAAAGGAACCCCTCACAGCAGGTGGGGATAAAAGGCTTCAAAACCAGGGCTCTAAATAGTCCCCAGGGGTCTCGGGCTAACGTTGCCCCATCTCCCCTCTCAATACCTCTTCAAAACATAAAGAAGACCCCTGACGAAGGTTTCCGAAGTGGTAACTGTAGCCGAGATGAGGCCCTAGTCGAGAAGAGTACCCCAGCCCTGAAAGTCAGGACAGCTGTGTTCCCAGAGGTAGAGGACAGAAGGCGTGTGTGTGTGGGGGGGTGGTGTATGGTAGAGGGAGGGCATGGGTGGTGAGGGCTGTGGACGTCTGCAGACAGGAAGGGTGTTAGGGTGAGACATGAAAGGACAGTTCAGTGGGAAGATGTGAGGATGTGAGGGGACAGGATGAAAGAGGACATTACAGAAGACCGGCATGCACACCGCAAAGGGGTGACCTCTCTGGCGACCATGGCCATGAAGGTCATGTATACACTGGCTTTCATTCCTCAGCTCTTCCCTAACCCGGCGCTTCTTTTTAACGACAGGGTCTCATATATCCCAGGCTGACCTGGAAATTGCCGTGTAGTCATGGTGAGCTGGAATTCCTGTTTCTCCTGCCCACTCAGGCGGGGTTTTCAAAGCAGGGAGGTGATGTGCGTCCATCTGGGGCTTTTGAAAGGAAAATCTGAGAGACTTGTAAAAGGTGACGGTAAGGAGGGCGCTTATCTCGTGAACCTCTGGGTGAACCCTCAGGACTCGTAACCCAGGCCGGTCTCCCCTTGGACTTGAATGAACTTGTCAAACAGGTCAGGAATGACTAGTCAGTTGCAATAGGGAAATATAGAAAGGGAAACTCCATCAGCCTCAAGAAAATAGGAAGCGTACCGTTTTGGAAATGGCATTGCTCAGAAAAGCATGATGGAGTGACTGGGAGGAAGCTGAGAGTCACAGCTGCCAGCCGAGGGGTGACTCTGTTTCTCCGGTGGACATTCTCTGGGGGAGCCCCAGAGACTCTGACACACCGATTTGTCCACAGATAGCGAACGGGACACCAAGAAGTGATGACTGTTCCAGTCTAGTTTCTCAAGAATCTCACTTGAGAAAACCCCCCAGGTGTCCATGGGGCGCTCTCAAGGCCAGGGCAAGGCAGCTAGGCCTCTCTGGGGTTGTCGTCTGTGAGCAGACAGCCCACAACCCCCCGGCAGGCCTCTCCTAAATCATCGTGTTTACATCCATGCTGTTTAATATGGACAATGAGCAGATCCATGGATCAATTAATAGGCATTTAAAAGCGTTTACTCAGTCCTCGCAACAGTTTATAGAAAGTGCATTTAGAAAGCAGTCGAGGTTATTGCTATTCTAAAGTGCTCAGGGATCCCAGATGAAAGGCCCTTGTGACTGGGAAGTATTTATAACTCAAGAAGGAACCCTCCACACCCCTGTTATACAACACCCCCCTACCCCCCCTACCCCCCCGCATGCCTGACCTGCCAGCCCAGGCCGCCGCGTGCATGTTTAAATTACACTGTAAATTCTATAGGGTGGAGACCTTGTCTTTATGGTTTGTAAAGCATCATGAATAACCATGGTACTCAGCAAATAAATAAAAACCACATGAAACGATAGAGATAGATGCCCCATCCCCTGTGTGTTGGGGAATTTGTCCCTCGTTTCAAAGTCCTTGGGTTCAATGGCTGTCACTCCGCAAACGTGGTTACGTCAGGATTTTCGGGTCCCCCGCCCCCCTTGGTAGAAGAGTGAGGATGTGGTTTCTTTATCTCCAGCCTCCACCATCTGCTGGTGCTGTCTTGACCCTCCGAAGGGCACAGAGAGAACAGTTTCACAAAGCCACACCGCGACGCAGAGGTGGCGTGGGGCCTTCCCTGAATTTGGTCCTAATCTGTTGTTTATCCCGGAGTGCTGGTGACTCTCCCTAAGAAACTCCTTCCAGGCTAACACTCAGCAGTCAGGGAGGAGCCGTGACTGTGGCTACAGCTTCCCCCTCAGCCTCACGCGGTGCGGCTGTGGAGATGGAGGCAGGACTCCAAGCCCTCTGACCTGACTTCCGGGACTCCCTCCACGCTCCCCCTGGCTTCTCTTTGCTTTTACCTTACAAGTGGGTTTGCGGATTTGTCTGGGTCGGCTCTCAACTTCTTGAACTACAGGAAAGGTCAAATGAAGGCCAAGAGGGCCAACCGCAGTGACCTGCCACAAACTCCAAACACAGGTTACAGGAAAAAGTCAAAATGAAAGACCCTTGAAAAAGACAGCCTCTGCATCTGACGCGTAATGCTGCCGATGCCTTATACAATGAGGGCTCTTTCTCAGATGATCTCATTCTACACCACCACCACCACCACCCCAATACCACCCCTTGCACATAGTAGCTGCTCACTAAACATGTAGCGGTTTGCCTCTGTAACATGCTCAAAGAGATGAGCAATTATCTGTGAGCCATGAGGAGATATAAATGAAGAGCATTAAGAGCGTTAGGTCAAAGGCTGTCTTAGTAGTCTGGGAGTTTGCCTGGCCACAGTCCAAAGCTTAGCCTCCTCACAGGTTAAAAAGCGCCAGCCAACCCAAGACTCAGTAAACAAAGGCAGAAAGAGTGCTAACACCAGTGTGGGAGAGTCAACCCTCTTGACCTGTTGGAAGAAGCGCGCAGGCTTGCTGAGGATGAATATGTGGCTTGTTTAGATACTGGAGCTGATTTCTCATGCGGCTCGGGCCAGCGATGAAGGAAGATAATGCAGAAAGCAACACAGAATATTCTGGAACCATAGTAAGGGGGGAAGGTGGTTGTCCTGGCCCCTGAAGCCTCTCTATTCTTAGGTATTAATCAAGGCCACATACCCCAGCTGGTTCAGGACGGGGTACTGAGGACCTCCTTTCTCAGAGTCTGTTTGAGGGGTTTGCCTTGGTTCCTCTAAAAAACCCGTCATTTTCTTAGCAGGGACACTCATAACTGCAAACTCTTAAGTTTATGGTGGGGAGATGGCAAGTTCGTGGAAGAAATACAAATGGCGTGTTCTTGGTCCTTTCATAACCTGGGAGGAATCAGTCACTCTCCGGCTGGCAGCTCCATCCATGCGAACAAAAGTAGCAGTTTCTAGGAACCGATCAGCCAGGAGGAGGGGACAGCGATGAGCTCAGTCCAAACGGGAGACCCTGCAGATTCTGCCAGCCTAGAGCCGTTCAGCAGCAGAGACAGGAAAGAGGATGTCTTCTTATGGTGTCATTGGCGTACAGTCCTGTCTTTGTTGAGACTGGGTCTTACTGTGTATCCCTGGCTGGCCTAGAACTCACAGAGACCATGCTGATCTCAAACTCAAACCTGCCTCTGACTCTCAGATGCTGACA